TCTTTGATTTGCTCTTCGTTCAATTTGTCACCGAAGCACATCAGAACCAGGAGGCAGAACATGGCGTATTGGAAGTGGTCGACCACCCTGACGCCGGCGCTGGCGCCTTCGGAGTGGGATTGAGACTTGGTTTTGAGGCGGTTGACGAGGATGTCGAGAACCCATTTGCGGGCGTTGCCGTAGGATTTGACCCGGGAAGGGTGAAGGATTTCGGAGGTGAGGTTGCGGCGGAGGAGGCGCCAAGTGGGGCCGTAGATGGCGGAGCTGATGTTGTGCTGGTTGCTGCTGGAGTACTTGTTGGTGGCCGAGGCCCGGGGGCGGTCGGCGAACACGGCGCCGTTCTGGATTAAGGCCTGGTGGGCGAGGGAGCGGTCGGCGATGAAGACGGCCGGGCGGGAGCCGATGCGGAGGGAGATAATGGGCCCGTGTTTGGCCTTGAGTTTGCGGATGATAGGCTCGAGCTCCGAGAAGGATTTGAGGAGGAATAAGAAGCCGCCGATGACGGGGAAGACGCGGGGCCCAGGAGGGAGCTTGGGTTTGGAGATGGAAGTGGGTAGGAATAGGGAAAGAAGGGGTTTGAGGAGGAAGGAGACGCAGAAGGCGATGAGGATCAGGAACCAGGTTTCCATGGTCAACCGTCGGCAATCAGACAAAAGGGCAATTGCGTTTGCTCAATAATTATTAGTTTCGATACTTTGTAAGGAGATTGATAAGGAACCAGGTTTCGACCGCATTGACTCAGCTGCACATATTGTCACTTTCACTTAAAATGTCTGACCATGACAAGTTCGACAAAATATAAGGGACCTGGCTTCTCTGCATTCCTAGTTTTCATACACTCTTATCTCCTCTTATTTTTGCGATAACAGTTAAACTATGTTAACATTTTATATCACTATTACTTTTTGTCTTATTATCTCTATAAAAAGATCAATATAAAATATTGACGTGGATTAATCGTGACCGCACGAAACAAAATAGGAGGGGATGGGAGTGTATGAGAACTGGAAGGGCAGAGAAGCTGGGTCCAAAAATAAGGCCGGCACTGAAATTAAGCTTTAGTATGTTTCCTCGAATCACTAGAAGTTAATATCGTGATTAAATGTCGGTTTATCCGAAAGCGTTAGATATTAGGATTTGGATCCTCTCCTGAGCTTAAGGAGAGGATCCTCCTAAGCAACGTATATGGACCGTTAGATGAAAATTCAACGGCTATAATTATTATAACTTTAAAAGAACATTCTGTTTGTAGCCGTTGAATTTTCATCCAACGGTCCACATATGTTGGTCAGGAGGATCCTCTCCATTAGCTCATGAGAGAATCCAAATCCTAGATATTATGTCTCTCCCCTTAGACCATCACCAACTCATGAAATAAAACTTAAAATATATGTTTTAAAACACTCCCAAACCATCTCCAATCATGGGCTAAAATAAGCCTGGGAGAGAAAATATATTTCTCAGCTAGATTCCTCCCAGGATTTAAGCTTGGCTTAAATTATTCTGAACCCACTAAATTATCATATTTCAAACTTTTTTTTTGTTTTTTTACTTATAATCTAACGGCTACGATCAAATGAGATCAAATATATTAGTAAAAACAGATTTGACGGCCCAAAATTAAGTTCACTAAGTTTCCCCTCTTTCTATATACTATCGATGAAATTGCAAATATGTTTAAAAAGTACAACCTTCAATCATACGTGTTCGTTGTGTTGTTTATTATTATTCCATATTCTCCTCTTTATTAATATATTTATTTTATTCATTGAATAATGTATGAGTTGTTGGATGATGAAAGCGCAATTAATTCATAATACATTGACAATGGTCTGTATTTTAATTTGATCAATTTATATTATTGTTTCACGGACCGATATAATTACAATTGGATTTAAAAATACAACATAACGTTAAGAACCAAGCCGGCATTGGTGATATTTGTGACAAGTCTTTGTTTTTATTTTGTATGGAGTGGTGTATGGGTACTTGGATGAAGGTGCAATTAATTCAATATATATTGGAGGGGGAGGACAAGGCCTAGCTACGGTGGCACTAGTGCCATGGGAATTCCCCCCTTATACTGCATGAATTTGAAGGGTGACACTCACACACCCACGCATAGATTAATTAACTTAATGTGTAGCAGATAAGCAGCACATTAAAATTTTACATACTAGTTTCTGTTGAATGTTAAAGTGCTAGCTAATCCAACAAAAAAAAGTAAAAGTAAACAAAGATGGGTCGTCACTTGTCAATCATAATCCGTAGGGTTAAAGTGCTAATTATTCCTAACTCTGCGCCCAGACTTCTTTAAATCTTTGCAGGCTAGGCTATTTGTTTCCTTTTAGTCTTGTAGGCTTACTGCTTTGTTGCCTCTACTGTCGACCTTGTTTCCTTGCAATTTCTCAGTAATTGGGGGCTCTGCTCTTGTTGTCTTTAGGTTTAGCACATTAAACAGGTTTGCTAATACAGATTGTTGTAAGGGGATCTTCTTCATTGCAGGAATAAGGGGATCTTTTTCATTGCAATTGATGTAGACAAGCCACTTTTAGGTCAAGGACCCTTTGATGTTGTTTTGCATAAGGTGGGTGCTCATATGTTCTTTTAGAAGCATAAAAGCCTTTGATTTGGTTTTTGTCTTCTAAGACAAATTTAGCATGGTTTTGGTTTTTGTAGTATACGGGAATGTGTGTAAACTTATAGTTTGTTTCTCTCATTGTTCCTAATTATTCCTAATCATTCTGTAGGTAAATGAACCAGAGAAGTGGGGCTACTCTAGCCAATTCCACCTCCCGAGTTCCAAAACAACCCTCAGTCTTTCAGAATCTCTCCCTCCCTCGACTCGACTCCCTCCTTGTCCTTTCCCTTAACTCCAACTCTCAGACTCTAACTCACAGTGCTTAACGACGTTGGGACTAACACAACAGCACCACCTCCACCGTCGCGACCACCATCACCCCATCACCACCATTGAGCTCCAACTTTCAGACTTTCACAGCTTCGTCGCTACCAACACAACGGCACCACCTCCGCCATCGCGACCATCATCATCCCATCACCACCGTCGAGGAACACTGCTACCACCAGTGGTTCAATACCGCTACCACCAGTGGTCCAATACCACTACCAACCATCATCCCTCTAAAATGTAGGTAATTTTGAATTAGGATTTATTATTAATGCGAAATTGTGAATATCTGGTGTAGGGATTTTAGGGGTTTTAAGTTAGAATTTGTAGAAGAGGTCGCACTTGGTGCGATGGCAAGTGCCTTCGCCCATGAGCGGTAGGTCTCGGGTTCGAGACTTGGGAGCAGCCTCTCCATAAAATGGGGGTAAGGCTAGCCGACATTCACCTCTCCCAGACCCTGCGTAAAGCGGGAGCCTTGTGCACTGGGTACGACCTTTTTAAGTTAGAATTTGTAGATTGATGATTGAATCATATTGCCACCATTTAGGGTTTTCTTAAAATTTGAATTGCATTTGTAGATTGATGATTGATCTGTTGCCACAATTTAAGGTTCTTCTCTTTGCATCAACCAATTTTTTTCCACTGTAATATTGAACCATTGATAACAAATTTTGGGTTATTACCTGTGCAAAATAGAATAGAAACCGTATGAGCACTCGTGAACAAAGGGGAGAAGGGAAGTTGTGTTTTGGTTCTAGTAGATGCGAGGCAATGTCGACTATCTTCCCACGTGTCATTTGGATTTGATTGATGCATGCAAGCATGGTCTTAGGTTCTATGGAAGTGATTCAGGTTTTAGATTTTCAGTTGCATCTATGTCGAACATGCTTATTTTGATTTTCCATGCGTTATTACCAGTTGTGGAGCTTCACTTTTCATGGCACATTCATTGTCATTTATATTTATAAGATTGTAATTCTTGTTTAATCCATGTAATTCAGTGTCATTTTTATTTGAATTGCATTTGTAGATTGATGATTGATCTATTGCCACCATTTAGGGTTCTTCCCTTCGCATCTACCAATTTTTTTCCACTCTAATATTGAATCACTAATAACAAGGTTTGGGTTTTTCTTTGCTTTGCATATTTCAGATCTAAGTCTGAGCGAAACGTTTCCACTCTCAGTTGTCGTCTTTGATTCAATGTAGTCTAGTTCTTCTTAGTTCTTATCATTCACAGTTGTCAATTTGTGTTTCGATTGCATCTCAAAAAGTTCGTAATTCGGTGATTGTATGCATTTGGTTTCACAAACGGCCGATGTAGATTTGGTTGAAGATGATACAATTCAATTTTAGATGTTCTTATATTGATATGTTTTGGAAATTAGATTTTATTTTCGGATAGAAAACTCATTTGAACTTAAGCAATTTTTAGGGATTTGTTCTGCTTTAGTTCACTTAGTATTCAAACCTGTTTTAAGTTCACTAAGTTTCCCCTCTTTCTATATACTACCGATGAAATTACAAATGTGTTTAAAAAGTACAACTTTTAATCATACGTGTTCGTTGTGTTGTTTATTATTATTCCATCTTCTCCTCTTTATTAATATATTTATTTTATTCATGGAATAATGTATGAGTTGTTGGATGATGAAAGCGCAATTAATTCATAATATATTGGCAATGGTTTGTATTTTAATTTGATCAATTTATATTATTGTTTCACGGACCGATATAATTACAAATGGATTTAAAAATACAACATAACGTTAAGAACCAAGCCGGCATTAGTGATATTGTGACAAGTCTTTATTTTTATTTTGTATGGAGTGGTGTATGGGTACTAGGATGAAAGTGCAATTAATTCAATATATATTGGAGGTGGAGGACAAGGCCTAGCCGCAGTGGCACTAGGGCCATGGGAATTCCCCCTCATACTGCATGAATTTGAAGGGTGACACTCACACACCCACGCATAGATAAATTAACTTAATGTGTAGCAGACGAACAGCACATTAAAGTTTTACATACTAGTTTCTGTTGAATGTTAAAGTGCTAGCTACTCCAACAAACAAAAGTAAAAGTAAACAAAGATGGGTTGTCACTCGTCAATCATAATTTGCAGGGTTAAAGTGCTAATTATTCCTGGCTCTGCGCCCAGACTTCTCTGAATCTTTGCAGGCTAGGCTGTTTGTTTCCTTTTAGTCTTGTAGGTTTACTGCTTTGTTGCCTCTGTTGTCGACCTTGTTTCCTTGCAATTTCTCAGTAATTTGGGGCTCTACTCTTGTTGTCCTTAGGTTTAGCACATTAAACCGGTTTGTTAATGCAGATTGTTGTAAGGGGATCTTCTTCATTGCAGGAATAAGGGGATCTTCTTCATTGCAATTGATGTAAACAAGCCACTTTCAGATCAAGGACCCTTTGATGTTGTTTTGCATAAGGTGACTGCTCATATGTTCTTTTAGAAGCATAACAGCCTCTGATTTGGTTTTTGTCTTCTCAGACAAATTTAGCATGGTTTTGGTTTCTGTAGTATACAAGAATGTGTGTAAACTTATAGTTTGATTATCTCTTTATTCCTAATTATTCCTAATCATTCTGCAGGTAAGTGTACCAGAGAAGTGGGGCTACTCTGTTGATTGGAAGAAAGTACTAGTCTTCTTCTTTGGAACCCAATAAATGTAAGTACTTAATAGTTAATAGATCCGCACGTTTTTCTTTTAACTAGTTTTTCTTTGAATATTGCTAATGTAAGTCAAATTTAGCATGATTCAAAATTGCTCTATCCCTCTTTTTAGCATATAGTTTCTTTCTCCTATTTTCATTTGGTTTCATATCGAGTATTAATGGGGATGGATTTATTTAGCACGTCTTACATTTGGTTTCTCTTTGTTTTCATTTAGCACGTCTTTCTCTTGTTTTCATTTGGTTTTATTTAGTTTCTTTCTCTTAATGGGGATGGATTTAGTAGTTGGTTTTATTCGTGATCTGAACTCTAAAGTTTTAATGGTTTCTTAAGATGATTAGTATTTTGTGGTAATTTCATGAAATTGGTGTGCATATTTCAAAATATCTTTATTTGATTAATGAATATACTTCCATTATTTAATTTTTACAAATTTTTACATATTGTCTCGATCTCAAAGTTAAAGTACCCCTAGTACTAATGTAGCATCATCTATGGCTACATCACCATGTCCTCCACAACCAACACAAGCACAACCCACACAGGCAAAATCATCAATACCTCCCCAAAACCCCTCATCCTCCAAAAAAAAAGAAAAGCACCACTTATTCCAAAGACAAGACAACAAACTATAATAGCTTCACTAGAGAGATCTTCTTCTGAGAGATCTTGGGTTTGGGATCATGTCACTAAGTGTACCGTCTCGAAAATACATGAAGTAGAAAAAGATGGAAAGAAAGAGATGGTGGAGGTACAAGTATGGAAGGCTAAGTGTAACCATTGTAATGCCCTTTTTTCATGTGTTACTAGTGGGGGGTGGAACTAGTGCTTACATTAAACATATCAATAAACATTGCAAGTCATATAAACCAACTGATGAGTTGCCAAAGGTTCTAGGCAGTTCTGGACCTTTTGAGGATGTCAAAAACAAGCTTGTTGCTAAAGGGTGGAGCCTAGAAGAAAGTGTGGAAGGTATTGTTGAGTATATTGTGATCGAGGAGGTACCTTTTAGTGTTGTGAAATCACTATAAATTAACATCGCGACTAAATGACAGTTCATCCGAAGGCGTTTGATATTATGTATCTCTACTTAAAGCAAATAAAATTGTGAGTGGAGATGCTCCCGAATCTTGTAATAATCCTCGCATAAGGGGCATTCGATCACAATTTGTTGGGTGCCAAAACCACCACCCTACAAAAAAGATAAAAAATATAAATACGCTAGTCATATTTTCGATCTGCAAAAATGCAACTGTTGTACCAAAAACTTGGGTGCTAATACTATTAGGGCACGTTTGTTTGACAGGATTAGCAAGGCTTGGACTGGACTAGACTATAGTCCTGTGTTTGGTGTGCAACCGGATTAGCTTTAATGGGCTTAGGTGGGACTCGCTCGGATTACACGCCTCATTACGAGTTCTTAACGAAGAACCCCAATTTTGGGCGGACTCGTAAGCTCGGAGAGAAAACCGCGAGGATCCCCAACGTCCTGCTCGTCCTCATCTCTGCGAGGATCCCCAACGTCCTTCGTCCTGCTCGTCGCTCGTCGTCGACCTTGCCCTGCTTCCTCGTCGTCGTCATCCTCACCCTCATCTCTGCGTATTCTCGCCCTCATCTGGTCGGAGACAGTCTGGTAAGCTTCAAATCTTCGATTGATTTCGTCGAATTGAGATTAGAATTTGGGGTTTTCATATTTTTAGTTCAAATTCAGATTAGAATTTGGGGTTTTCGTATTTCAACTTTTCTGGTAAACTTCAAAATCAATTTTTAGGTCAAATTGAGATTAGAATCTGTGTGTGTAATCTCTGTGTGTGTCTGTGTGTGTGTGCATGTGTGTGTATACTATGTGTGTGTGTACTCTGGTTTGTCTGTGTGTGTGTGTATACTCTATGTGTGCGTGTAATCTCTGTTTGTGTATACTCTGTGTGTGTGTGTGTAATCTGTGTGTGTGTGTGTGTGTGTATGTATGCAGTGTGTGTGTGTGTATGTATGTATGTATGCAGTGTGTGTGTGTGTGTATGTATGTATGTATGCAGGGTGTGTGTGAGTGTATGTCCGTGTGTGAGAGTGTGTATGTCCGTGTGAGTATGTGTGTGAGTGTGTATGCAGTGTGTGTGTGTGTGTGTATGCAGTGTGTGTGTGTGTATGCAGTGTGTGTGTGTATGTATGCAGGGTGTGAGTGTATGTCAGTGTGTGAGAGTGTATGTCCGTGTGTGAGAGTGTGTATGTGTGTGAGTGTGTATGCAGTGTGTGTGTGTATGCAGTGTGTGTGTGTGTGTATGTATGCAGTGTGTGTGTGTGTGTATGTATGCAATGTGTGTGTGTGTATGTATGCAGTGTGTGTGTGTGTGTGTGTGTGTGTGTGTGTGTGTGTGTGTGTGTGTATGTATGCAGTGTGTGTGTGTGTGTGTATGTATGCAGTGTGTGTGTGTGTGTATGTATGCCGTGTGTGTGTGTGTGTGTGAATGTATGCAGTGTGTGTGTGTGTGTGTGTATGTATGCAGTGTGTGTGTGTGTGTATGTATGCAGTGTATGTGTGTGTCTATGTATGCAGTGTATGTGTGTGTGTGTGTATGCAGTGTGTGTGTGTGTATGTATGCCGTGTGTGTGTATGTATGTATGCAATGTGTGTGTGTGTGTATGTATGCAGTGTGTGTGTGTGTCTATGTATGCAGTGTGTGTGTGTGTGTGTGTGTGTGTATGCAGTGTGTGTGTGTGTGTGTATGTATGCAGTGTGTGTGTGTGTGTGTATGTATGCAGTGTGTGTGTGTGTGTGTATGTATGCAGTGTGTGTGTGAGTGTATGTCCGTGTGTGAGAGTGTGTATGTCTGTGTGAGTGCAGTGTGTGCAGCTGACCAGTGTGTGTGTGTGTGTATGTATGCCGTGTGTGTGTGTGTGTGTGTATGTATGTATGCAGTGTGTGTGTGTGTGTGTATGTATGCAGTGTGTGTGTGTGTGTGTATGTATGCAGTGTGTGTGTGTGTATGTATGCAGTGTGTGTGTGTGTGTGTATGTATGCAGTGTGTGTGTGTGTGTATGTATGCAGTGTGTGTGTGTGTGTGTGTGTGTATGTATGCCGTGTGTGTGTGTGTGTGTATGTATGCAGTGTGTGTGTGTGTGTGTGTATGTATGCCGTGTGTGTGTGTGTGTGTATGTATGCAGTGTGTGTGTGTGTGTGTGTATGTATGCAGTGTGTGTGTGTGTGTGTATACAGTGTGTGTGTGTGTCTATGTATGCAGTGTGTGTGTGTGTGTCTATGTATGCAGTGTGTGTGTGTGTATGTATGTATGCAGTGTGTGTGTGTGTGTATGTATGTATGTATGCAGGGTGTGTGTGAGTGTATGTCCGTGTGTAAGAGTGTGTATGTCCGTGTGAGTATGTTTGTGTGTGTGTATGCAGTGTGTGTGTGTATGCAGTGTGTGTGTGTGTGTATGTATGCAGTGTGTGTGTGTGTGTGTATGTATGCAGTGTGTGTGTGTGTGTGTGTATGTATGCCGTGTGTGTGTGTGTGTATGTATGCAGTGTGTGTGTGTGTGTGTGTGTGTGTGTGTGTGTATGTATGCAGTGTGTGTGTGTGTCTATGTATGCAGTGTGTGTGTGTGTGTGTATGCAGTGTGAGTATGTGTGTGTGTGTGTATGTATATATGCAGTGTGTGTGTGTGTGTGTATGTATGTATGCAGTGTGTGTGTGTGTGTGTGTATGTATGTATGCAGGGTGTGTGTGAGTGTATGTCCGTGTGTGAGAGTGTGTATGTCCATGTGTGTGTGTTAGTGTGAGTGTGAGTGTGAGTATGTATGTGTATTTTGCACATTTGTCCATGAGTGTGTGTGAGTGTATGTCCGTGTGTGAGAGTGTGTATGTTCGTGTGTGTGTGTTAGTGTGAGTGTGAGTGTGAGTATGTATGTGTATTTTGCACATTTGTCCATGAGTGTGTGTGTGTGTACTTGGTTTATAACCATGATATTACAATGTGAATGTTTTGTATTGTGTGGGGTTGATGCTGAATTGCAATTTTTTGTGGTTGTTGGTTGCAGAGAAGAGGAGCATAAACAGAAGGCTAAGGCTAAGGCTACTGCATTACAGGTGTCCTTTAATTTCCCTCTTCATATGCAATGCCTAGCAATGATAGCAATCCTCATACTAGTGTTCTTAGACACATGTTTATAGATGTATAAGAGTAGAACATTTTGAATATGATGCTTCGGGTTAATGATAACTTTTTTTTTTTCAACGCCACCTGTATATTTGTTGCCTCGGGTTAATGATAATTTTTTTTTTCAACGCCACCTGTATATTTGTTGCCTCGGGTTAATGATAGCTTTTTTTTTCCAACACCACCCGTATATTTGATGCCTCGGATTGTGACTTCGCTAGTTACTTTGATCTAGTTCATTTCGTATCATAATCACTTCATTTCCATCACCCTTAATAACAGTAAATATTACATATATAATGTCCTTAATTTGTTTTTTGTTTTTTTTTTTGTTTGGATAGATATGGATCGAAGGAAGCTTTTATTGATCTTATTGTTAGAGATGTCTTATTTGGAGACAATTTGCATTTGTACGATTCTTGTGTTGATGATGCTACGTGGCAAACAGAGACATGTTGAACGACCCACATTGACTAACCGTTCACTTATTAGACGAGAGATTAGTTTGTGTTATCTGAATGGTATAATAGGGAATACTGATACTGAATGTGTCAACGAATTGAGAATGGATAGAAGGACTTTTGACATATTATGTGACTTACTTCGTCAAGATGTGAGGGTAAAAACTGATGGTTTGGTGTCTGTAGAGGAGCAGGTGTGTATGACTTTACAAATATTAGCACATCATACTAAGAATCGTAGTGTTGGCGGTAGATTTTATAGGTCGGGAGAGACTATAAGTAGGTATTTTAATAGCGTATTGCAAGGAATTTTGCGATTACAAGGTATCCTACTGAAAGTCCCACAGCCTGTGCCTATTGATTCTACAGATCCTAGGTGGCGATGTTTTAAGGTATGATGAGAATTTTTTTTCATTTTCCCTAAGCTTTAACTCTTCATTCCCTTTGTATAAATTAACAAAAACTTTTTTTTTTTTTTTTTTTTTTTAAGAATTGTTTGGGAGCATTGGATGGAACACACATTGATGTGCATGTACCTGAAATTGACAAACCAAGATACCGAACAAGAAAGGGTCGAGTCGCAACTAATGTGTTAGGTGTGTGTTCAGGAGATATGCAGTTCATATATGTGTTTCTGGGGTGGGAGGGTTCCGCATCAGACTCTAGAGTGCTACATGATGCAATTACTATGCCTAATGGTTTTAAGGTACCAGCGGGTAAGACTATTACTTAGTCTCAACTTTGTAAGTTAGGTCTAGTTCTGTTTGTCAACTACAAAACACTAATAAGGTCTGTTTTTTTTTTCATTAGGTTATTATTACCTTGTAGATGGTGGTTATACAAATGGTGAAGGATTCCTTGCACCCTATAGAGGAATACCTTATCATTTATCTGAATGGGAGGGACGAACACCTTCTAATAAGGAAGAATATTTTAACATGAATCATTCTAAGGCAAGGAATGTAATTGAACGCTGTTTTGGCTTGCTAAAAGGAAGGTGGTCGATACTAAGGAGTCCATCTTTCTATCCGATAAGGACACAAGGTCGAATAATTACCGCTTGTTGCCTACTACACAATCTTATTAGGCAAGAGATGTCTGTAGATCCAATGGAGAATTTGCCAATAATAGAAGATGGACAAAATACAGAAGAAGGTGAATATGTTGGTAGTGTTCAAACATCTGACCAGTGGACTGCAAAGAGGAATGATATGGCTCAGGAAATGTATAACGAGTGGAGAGCAATTAGGAACCAGCAACCGAACTAGCTATATGTGTTAATGATAACATTTTATTTTAGTATTCCTTTTTATCATGCATTTGTTAGATATTAGCACAATGATTGGATGGTATGCAAATTAATTGGATATTATGCAAGTTGATTGGATATTATGTAAGTTGATTGGATATTATGCAGATTGATTATTTGTATGGTATTTTCCTTCATTAAAATATTTTTTGTTTAGGTATGGATAACGAAAATATTTTGAATGCTACTCAAGAGCCAAAAGGAAGAAGGCGTAAATGGGAAGCATTTGAGGAAGAAGTATTACTAGGAGTTCTTGAGGATTTTGTTGCTCGGAAGCAACGGTGTGACACCGGTGCTTTCAAACAAGGTACTTTGGTTGAAATAGCAAAAGCTGTCAATGTTTTATGTCCTCATTCAAATATAAAGGCAAATCTACATATTGAGTCCAAGTTGAAGAAATGGAAAAAAAAACATATAGTATGGTCGTTGACATGATAAACACAAGTGGATTTGCATGGAATGATGTCAAAAAGTGCGTTGAAGTTGACAGTGATGACTCATGGCAAACTTATGTGCAGGTTCATATCCTATTTTATTTATACATTAGTTATATTATTGCTGCTATATTTGTTACGCATGCTAAATTTTAGTTTTGCTATGTTGATATAATCTTAGAGAAATAAAGAAGCCGATGGATGGAGAAGCAAACCTTTTCCACTGTTTGATAGATTTGCATATATATTTGGAAAAGATCGGGCTACGGGTAATGTAGCCGAAACCCCTGCTCAAATGGTGGAGGAACAAAGTTATGATCATGTTGGTGAAAGTGATATTGGAGGTGAAAATTTTGTTTCTTCAATGAACCAACAAAAGCCAACAAAGCACCCCATCTGAAAATAGCCAAAGAAAGAGGAAAAGAGCTGTGGGAAGTTCAAGTGATGGAACCGAGGCAATTATCAGTGGACTGAAAGATTTTTATGTTGAAAGTGGGAAGAGGATGCAAATGGTAACTGAAGCTTTAGTTCAAGGTACTGCAGATCATACTGACATAGCTAATGAACTTGAAGCAATGGGTCTCTCTCCTATGGATCAAATTGATGCATTGTCTCTTATTTTGGATAAACCAAAAAATGTGGGAGTGTTCAGGGCAATCAAACCGGAACTCAAGAAAGTGTTCGTCCAAAGGCTTTTAAGCGACAACGCAAGCGGATGAGGATTTTGGCTAATGTTAACATGGATGTATTTTATTAATGTTAACATGGATGTATTTTATTAATCATACAATCTTATGTTATGGCTTATAACTTAGCTTTGCACTAGTATTTTGGCTTATGTTAACTAGCCATTTTGTAAATTATGGAGATCTATTTTGGCTAATGTTAACTAGGATTTTCTAAATTATGGAGATCTTCTTATGTACTTGTATTTGTTGAAGTTGCATGTATTGGGCACTATTATTTTTCTTCTGTTGGGTGATAGAGTTTAAACCAAGCTACATTTGCAAATTAAACCCAATTCTATTAGCAGGTAATAGAAACAAAACAATTGTCAATTTTTTTTTAAGATTCATAATATACATGGCAAAAATATGCTCCAATTAACCCATATCATGAGATTTGTAGCATTACTCTATTACACAATGGCAAAAATTTGTAATCCTAGTCTAAGCAAACACAAATCTGGTGAACAGTACTGTTTTTCTTATCCTGCTTCTTAGTCCGACATTACACCAAACGCTTCACTAAGTTAGTCCAGCTTAGTCCAGTCTAAGCCAGTCCAGCTTAGTCCCGGCAGCTAGTCCAATCCGAGACAGTCCGGCGCAACAAACGCACCCTTAGCATATCAGATCGAGATCGCTGTAAATATAGTAGTTCCATAGAGCTTAACCTTATCTCTGGGGCTCAAAACATGATGTTGAAAACTTGAGATTACTTCAGATGACGAATTTTAGGGACGAAGCATAGTCTAACAAATTAAGCAATGAACGGAAATGGTAATTGAACACCTTTGTCGGAAAGAAGTTGTCTTCAAAGAGTTGTTTATTCTTTCATTTCCATATATACGAAGGTAAAAATAAAAACACTACTCCATCGAATTTGTTCAAACCACGGTAACTTGGATTTCGAATTAGTCATTAGACAAGCTGTAACACAAAGATTAAAGGAGAGTTGTACCTATGTAGGCAATCCCATCAATTTCTCAAATGCTCCTTGCTCTTGGGCAGTCTCTAAATGCAGAAGTTGTCTTCCCAAGATTTGAAAGTTGTATTAGTTATAAGCTAAAAAGTAGCAAATACAGCTCACTCAAATCACTCTCTAAATATTGAAGTTATAAAATCCGTCTTGAATCAGACTAGTAAACTAAAAATCTAAATTTTCAAAATTACATAATCAATGAAAAGCATACATGGATAGATTCAACGGTTGAATATGCACCGAATAATTAGTACAGAATTCTCACACGTATTAAATTCTAGGGATTACGTGGGCATGCAATGGATTCTTCATCACTATAGTAAACTCCTGCTTCTCTGACAGGTCCACGTCATCTCCCTCCACAGTTCTCCACTCAAATTTCCACACCAAATTCGCCACAAAGTACTCCAGGTGAAGCACCGCCAATCCCGACCCTGGACAGATCCTCCTCCCTGCCCCAAACGGCATCATCTTAATCTCCCTGCTCCCCCTCAAATCGAACCCTTCTTCTCCTCCACTGCTGCCCAAGAACCTCTCCGGCTTGAACGCCATGGGGTCCTCCCACACTTGCGGGTCCCACCCTATACTCGCCAGCATGAAACTAACACTCCCGTTCTTGGGCACCACGTGTCCGCCCAAATCCACGTCATGCGTCACCGCGCGCGGCACAAAGTGCGCCGGCGGGTGGCGCCTCAGCCCCTCCAAGATCACGGCTTTCAGATACGGCAGCTTGTGCAGGACCTCCTCCCGCACCTCGTCCTCCGTTTCTCCCATCACCCCTTTAATCTCGGCAAACAGCTTCTCCTGAACTTGCGGGTACTTCACTACGTTGGCCATGATCCACTGCAGCGCGGTGGAAGTCGTGTCGGTGCCGGCATCCAGAAACTCTGAGCATTGGCTGACCATTTCTCCCTCCGAAAGCTTCCGCTTTTCGTTGCCGTCGGGAAGCTCGAGGTCCAGCAGCGTATCTGTATACGACAACACAAATTCATCATCTTTGTCGTCGGTTTTGCTGCCCTGCTTTGCCCTATTTTGTCGTGCTCGAATCAGAGGGAGGAGCACTTCTCGTCGTTCCTCGAGGATTTTAAATAATTGCCGCCACCGATTTTTGAAGATAATCTTCGTCAATTTCGGCTTGAAATTGAGGATATTGAACCGCCCGAAACTCAAAAGTAGTTGGCGCTGCACGCGCTTGATTTCTTTGATTTGCTCTTCGTTCAATTTGTCGCCGAAGCACATCAGAACCAGGAGGCAGAACATGGCGTATTGGAAGTGGTCGACCACCCTGACTCCGGTGGCGGCAGCTTCGGAGTGGGATTGAGACTCGGTTTTGAGGCGGTTGACGAGGATGTCGAGAACCCATTTGCGGGCGTTGCCGTAGGATTTGACGCGGGAAGGGTGAAGGATTTCAGAGGTGAGGTTGCGGCGTAGGAGGCGCCACAAGGGGCCGTAGACGGCGGAGCCGATAGTGTGCTGGTTGCTGCTGACGCACTTGTTGGTGGCCAAGGCCAGGGGGCGGTCGGCGAACACGGCTCCGTTCTGGATTAAGGCCTGGTGGGCGAGGGAGCGATCGGCGACGAAGACGGTAGAGCGGGAGCCGATGGGGAGGGAGATGATGGGCCCGTATTCGGCCTGGAGTTTGCGGATAATAGGCTCGAGCTCCAAGGAAGATTTGAGGAGGAATAAGAAGCCTTCGATGATGTGGAAGAAGCGAGGCCCGGGAGGGAGATTGGGTCTGGAGATGGAAGTGGGTAGGAATAGAGAGAGAAGGGGTTTGAGGAGGAAGGAGACGCAGAGGGCGATGAGGATAAGGAACCAGGTTTCCATGGTGAATCGTAAGCAATCAGACAAAGAGCAACTGCGTTTGCTCAACAATTATTAGTTTCCATACTTTATAAGCATATTGATGAGGAACCAGGTTTCCAATGCATTGACTCAGCTGCACATATTGTCACTTTCACTTAAAATGTCTGACCATGACACTGCCCTCCTAGCCCTATACGCTCTCGTCTCCTCCTATTTATGCGATTACAGTTAAGTCACGTTAATATTTTATATCACTATTATTTTTTGTCTTATTATCTCTATAAAAAAATCAATATAAAATGTTGATGTGGCTTAAGCGTGATTGCACAAAATAGGAAGAGATGAGAGTGTATGGGAATTGGGAGGGCAGAGAAACCGGGTCCAAAAATAAGGCCTGCATTGAAATTAAACTTTAGTGTGTTTCCTCGAATCACTAGAAGTTAATATCGCGATTAAATGTTAGTTCATCCGAAAGCGTTAGATATTATGTCTCTCCCCTTAGACCATCACCAACTCATGAAATAAAGCTTAAAATATAAGTTTTAAAAACCCTCCCAAACCATTTCCAATCATGGGTTAAAATAAGTCCGGGAGAGAAAATATATCTCTAAGCTAAATTCCTCCCGGGATTTAAGCCTGGCTTAAATTATTTTGAACCCACCAAATTGTTATATTTCAAACTTTTTTTTGTTTTTTTACTTATAATCTAACTGCTACGATGAAATGAGATCAAATCTAATAGTAAAAAAAAAGATTTGACGGCCCAAAATTAAGAAAATTATTTAAATCAAATTTAACTTAAAACTTTATAAACACCTATGTATTTGTATGATTTTTAATTACTTATCAGAATTTAAATATTTTTAGACTAAAATGTTCATAAAAATAAATTAAGATAATCTACATAAATTTTATTTTCAAAAAAAGTTACCAAAAACAAAAAGTTAGGCTAAAATCATTATTTGATCATCTAAAATTTTAAGCCATAAGGGTTGTAAAGGAAAATCAGATTCTGACTTATGGCTTAAAATTTTAAGCTTTATCCCCAAGGATTGGAGATGATCTTAAAGCAAATAAAATTGTGAGTAGAGATACTCCCGAATCTTGTAACAATCCTCACATAAGGGGTCTTTGATCACAATTCGTTGGGTGCCGGAACCCCCACCCTACAAAAGATCAAATTATACATACGCTTGTCAGACTTTCCATTCGCAAACCATAACTCTTGCTATGGAACTATTGTGCCCAAAATTTAGGTGCTAGTACTATTAGCATATCTGTATATGACCAACCTTATGGCTTGCATCTCCAGCTTTGCGTAATGTCACATATTCACCGCATCTCAACGCCCCACCAGCAAATTCAACATGTCAAAGAAATCAGATCAAGATCGTTGTATAAAGGGGTGGGCAAATGGGTACAGGAATTGCTGGTCGGGGCGGGTACGGACCAGTTCCTAATTTTGTAAAAACAGAACGATACGAGGCGGGCCGGGCCTGGCCTTTGAAGTTTTCAGTTTGGGCCAGTTCTAAAAGTATAAGAAATGCGAGAACCCGGACCGGCCTGTTTGTAATTACAATGGACAGACGAGATTTAAAATATCATATCTCCATCCAATCTCAACAGTTAGTTTCAACCCTAGCCAATTCCACCTCCCGAGTTCCAGAATCACCCTCAGTCTCTCAGAATCTCTCATTCCCTCGACTCGACTCCCTCCATGTCCCTTCCCTCGACTCCAACTCTCAGACTCTCACTCACAGTGTTTAATGCCGTCAGGACCAATACAACAGCACCACCTCCGCCGTCGTAGCCACCATCGAGCTCCAACTCTTAGACTCTCACAGCGCCGTCGCTACCAACACAATGGCATCACCTCCGTCGTTGCAACCACCATCACCCTATCACCACCGTCGAGGAACACTGCTACCACCAGTGGTCCAGTACCACTACCAACCATCATCCCTCTAAAATTTAGGTAATTTTGAATTAGGTTTTATTATTAATGTGAATTTGTGAATATCTGGTGTAGGGATTTTAGGGGTTTTAAGTTAGAATTTGTAGATTGATGATTGAATCCTGTTGCCACCATTTAGGGTTTTCTTAAAATTTGAATTGCATTTGTAGATTGATGATTGATGTGTTGCCACCATTTAGGGTTCTTCTCTTCGCATCTACCAATTTTTTTCCATTGTAATACTGAATCACTGATAACAAATTTTAGGTTATTACCTGCGCAAAATAGAATAGAAACCGTATGAGCACTCGTGAACAAAGAGGATAAGGGAAGTTGTGTTTTGGGTCTAGTAGATGCGAGGCAATGTCGACTATCTTCCCACGTGTCATTTGGATTTGATTGATGCGCGCAAGCATGGTCTCAGGTTCTGTGGAAGTGATTCGGGTTTTAGATTTTCAGTTGCATCTTTGTCGAACATGCTTGTTTTGAATTTCCATGGGTTATTACCTGTTGTGGAGCCTAACTTTTCATGGCATATTCAGTGTCATTTATATTTGTAAAATTGTAATTCTTGTTTAATCCATGTAATTCAGTGTCATTTATATTTGAATTGCATTTGTAGATTGATGATTGATCTGTTGCACCATTTAGGGTTATTCTCTTCGCATCTACCAATTTTTTTCCACTGTAATACTGAATCACTGATAACAAAGTTTGGGTTTTTTTTTGGCTTTGCGTATTTCAGATTTAAGTCTAAGCGAAACGTTTTTCTGGAACAACCATGTCTCTGGTGAGTTTTAGTTTGTTTCTTCTAATGTACCAATCTCAGTTGTCGTCTCTGATTCAATGTAGTCCAGTTCTTCTTAGTTCTTATCATTCACAGTTGTCAATTTGTGTTTCTATTGCATCTCAAAAAGTTCGTAATTCGGTGATTGTAAGCGTTTGGTTTCACCAATGGCCGGTGTAGATGTGGTTGATGATGATACAATTCAATTTTAGATGTTCTTATATTGATCTGTTTTGGAAATTAGATTTGATTCGGATAGAAAACCCATTTGAAATTAAGCAATTTTTAGGGATTTGTTATGCTTTAGTTCACTTAGTATTCAAACATGTTTTAAGTTCACTAAGTTTCCCCTCTTTCTATATACTACCGATGAAATGGTAAATGTGTTTAAAAAGTACAACTTTCAATCATACGTGTTTGTTGTGTTGTTTATTATTATTCCATCTTCTCCTCTTTATTAATATATTTATTTTATTTATGGAATAATGTATGAGTTGTTGGATGATGAAAGCGCAATTAATTCATAATATATTGGCAATGGTCTGTATTTTAATTTGATCAATTTATATTATTGTTTCACGGACGGATATAATTACAAATGGATTTAAAAATACAACATAACGTTAAGAACCAAGCCGGCATTAGTGATATTGTGACAAGTCTTTGTTTTTATTTTGTATGGAGTGGTGTATGGGTACTTGGATGAAGGTGGAATTAATTCAATATATATTGGAGGTGGAGGACAAGGCCTAGCTGCAGTGGCACTAATGCCGTGGGAATTCCCCCTCATACTGCATGAATTTGAAGGGTGACACTCACACACCCACACACAGATTAATTAACTTAATGTGTAGCAGATGAACTGCACATTAAAGTTTTTCATACTAGTTTGTGTTGAATGTTAAAGTGCTAGCTAATCCCACAAACAAAAGTTAAAGTGCTAATTATTCTTGGCTCTGCGTCCAGACTTATCTGAATTTTTGCAGGCTAGGCTGTTTGTTTCCTTTTAGTCTTGTAGGCTTACTGCTTTGTTGCCTTTACTGTCGACCTTGTTTCCTTGCAATTTCTCAATAATTGGGGGCTCTGCTCTTGTTGTCTTTAGGTTTAGCACATTAAACAGGTTTGCTAATACAGATTGTTAGAAGGGGATCTTCTTTATTGCAGGAATAAGGGGATCTTCTTCATTGCAATTGATGTAAACAAGCCACATTCAGATCAAGGACCATTTGATGTTGTTTTGCATAAGGTGAGTGCTCATATGTTCTTTTAGAAGCATAACAACCTTTGATTTGGTTTCTGTCTTCTCCGACAAATTTAGCATGGCTTTGGTTTATGTAGTATACGGGAATGTGTGTAAACTTATAGTTTGTTTCTCTCCTTATTCCTAATTATTCCTAATCATTATGCATGTAAGTGAACCAGAGAAGCGGGGCTACTTTAGCCAATTCCACCTCCCGAGTTCTAGAATCACCCTCAGTCTCTCAGAATATCTCCCTCCCTCGACTCGACTCATTCCCTGTCCCTTCCCTCGACTCCAACTCTCAGACTCTCACTTACATTGCTTAACGTCGTCGGGACCAACACAACAGCACCACTTCCGCCGTCACAACCACCATCACCCCATCACCCCATCACCACTATCGAGCTTCAACTCTCACACTCTCACAGCGTCGTCGCTACCAACACAATGGTACCACATCCGCCGTCGCGACCACCATCACCCCATCACCACCGTCGACGAACACTGCTACCACCAGTGGTCCAGTACCACTACCAACCATCATCCCTTTAAAATTTAGGTAATTTTGAATTAGGTTTTATTATTAATGTGAAATTGTGAATATCTGGTGTAGGGATTTTAGGGGTTTTAAGTTAGAATTTGTAGATTGATGATTGAATCCTGTTGCCACCATTTAGGGTTTTCTTAAAATTTGAATTGCATTTGTAGATTGATGATTGATGTGTTGCCACCATTTAGGGTTTTTCTCTTCGCATATACCAATTGTTTTCCACTGTAATACTGAATCACTTATAACAAATTTTGGGTTATTACTTGCGCAAAATAGAATAGAAACCATATGAGCACTTGTGAACAAATGGGAGAAGGGAAGTTGTGTTTTGGGTCTCGTAGATGCGAGGCAATGTCGACTATCTTCCCACGTGTCATTTGGATTTGATTGATGCATGCAAGCATGGTCTCAGGTTCTGTGGAAGTGATTTGGGTTTTAGATTTTCAGTTGCATCTCTGTCAAACATGCTCTTTTGATTTTCCATGGGTTATTACCTATTGTGGAGCTTCACTTTTCATGGCAAATTTAGTGTCATTTATTTGTAGGATTGTAATTCTTGTTTAATCCATGTAATTCAGTGTCATTTATATTTGAATTGCATTTGTAGATTGATGATTGATCTGTTGCCACCATTTAGGGTTCTTCTTTTTGCATCTACCATTTTTTTTTCCACTGTAATACTGAATCACTGATAACAAAGTTTGGGTTTTTTTTGGCTTTGCATATTTCAGATCTAAGTCTAAGCAAAACGTTTTTCTGGAACAGCCATGTCTCTGGTGAGTTTTAGTTTGTTTTTTCTAATGTTCCAATCTCAGTTGTCATCTCAGATTCAATGTAGTCAAGTTCTTCTTAGTTCTTATCGTTCACAGTTGTCAATTTGTGTTTCGATTGCATCTCAAAAAGTTCGTGATTTGGTGATTGTATGAGTTTGGTTTCACCAATGGCCGGTGTAGATTTGGTTGATGATGATACAATTCAATTTTAGATGTTCTTATATTGATCTGTTTTGGAAATTAGATTTGATTTTCGGATAGAAAACCCATTTGAACTTAAGCAATTTTTAGGGATTTGTTCTGCTTTAGTTCACTTAGTATTCAAACATGTTTTAAGTTCACTAAGTTTCCCCTCTTTCTATATACTACCGATGAAATTGCAAATGTGTTTAAAAGTACAACTTTCAATCATACGTGTTCGTAGTGTTGTTTATTATTATTCAATCTTATCCTCTTTATTAATATATTTATTTTATTCATTGAATAATGTATGAGTTGTTGGATGATGAAAGCGCAATTAATTCATAATACATTGGCAATGGTCTGTATTTTAATTTGGTCAATTTATATTATTGTTTCACGGACCGATATAATTACAAATGGATTTAAAAATACAACATAACATTAAGAACCAAGCCGGCATTAGTGATATTGTGACAAGTCTTTGTTTTTATTTTGTATGGAGTGATGTATGGGTACTTGGATGAAAGTGCAATTAATTCAATATATATTGGAGGTGGAGGACAAGGCCTAGCTGCAGTGGCACTAGTGCCATGGCAATTACTGCATGAATTTGAAGGGTGACACTCATACACCCACACACAAATTAATTAACCTAATGTGTAGCAGATGAACAACACATTAAAGTTTTACATACTAGTTTCTGTTGAATGTTAAAGTGCTAGCTAATCCAACAAACAAAAGTAAAAGTAAACAAAGATGGGTTGTCACTCGTCAATCATAATCTGCAGGGTTAAAGTGCTAATTATTCCTGGCTTTGTGTCCAGACTTCTCTGAATCTTTGCAGGCTAGGCTGTTTGTTTCCTTTTAGTCTTGTAGGCTTACTTCTTTGTTGCCTCTGATGTCAACCTTGTTTCCTTGTAATTTCTGAGTAATTGGGGGCTGTGCTCTTATTGTCTTTAGGTTTAGCACATTAAACAGGTTCTCTAATACAGATTGTTGTAAGGGGATGTTCTTCATTGCAAGAATAAAGGAATCTTCTTCATTACAATTGATGTCAACAAGCCACTTTCAGATCAAGGACCATTTGATGTTGTTTTGCATTAGGAGTGCTCATATGTTCTTTTAGAAGCATAACAGCCTCTGATTTGGTTTATGTCTTCTCAAACAAATTTAGTATGATTTTGGTTTCTGTAGTATATGGGAATGTGTGTGAACTTATAGTTTGATTCTCTCCTTATTCCTAATTATTCCTAATCATTCTGCAGGTAAGTGAACCAGAGAAGTGGGGCTACTCTTTTGATTGGAAGAAAGCACTAGTCTTTTCTTTGGAACCCAACAAATGTAAGTACTTAATAGTTAATATATCTGCACTTTTTTTTTAAACTAGTTTTTCTTTAAAGGGGTGTGCTATTCACACACCCATTTTTACTTCTCACACACCCTTGTTAATTTCTGTCCGTTGATCTTCTTTAATTCATCCGATCCGACGGCCAAAAAGCAAAAAGGTGTGAGAGAAGTAAAAAATGGTGTGTGGATATCACACCCCTTCTTTAAAATATTGCTAATGTAAGTCAAATTTAGCATGATTCAAAATTGCTCTCTTCCTCTTTTTAGCATATAGTTTCTTTCTCCTATTTTCATTTGGTTTCATATCGAGTATTAATGGGGATGGATTTATTTAGCACGTCTTTCATTTGGTTTCTCTTTGTTTTCATTGAGCACGTCTTTCTCTTGTTTTCATTTGGTTTCATTTAGTTTCTTTCTCTTAATGGGGATGGATTTAGTAGTTGGTTTTATTCGTGATCTGAACTCTGAAGTTTTAATGGTTTCTTGAGATGATTAGTATTTTGTGGTAATTTCATGAAATTGGTGTACATATTTCGAAATAGCTTTATTTGATTAATGAATATACTTCCATTATTTAATTTTTACAGATTTTTACATAATGTCTCAATCTCAAAGTCAAAGTACCCTTACTACTAATGTAGCATCATCTACGGCTACATCACCATGTCTTCCACAAGCACAACCCACATAGGCAAAATCATCAATGCCTCCCCCAAACCCCTCATCCTCCAGAAAAAGAAAAGCACCACATATTCTAAAGACAAAACAACCAACTATAATAGCTTCACTAGAGAGATCTTCTTCTGAGAGATCTTGGGTTTGGGATCATGTCACTAAGTGTACCGTCTCGGAAATACAAGAAGTAGAAAAGGATGGAAAGAAAGATATGGTGGAGGTACAAGTATTGAAGGCTAAGTGTAACTATTGTAACACCCTTTTTGCATGTGATACTAGTGGGGGTGGAACTAGTACTTACATTGAACATATCAATAAACATTGCAAGTTATTTAAACCAACTAATGAGTTGCAAAAGGTTCTAGGCAGTTCTGAACCTTTTGGGGGATGTCAAAAACATGCTTGTTGCTAAAGGGTGGAGCCAAGAAGAAAGTGTGGAAGGTATTATTGAGTATATTGTGATCGAGGAGGTACATTTTAGTGTTGTGGAGAGTGAAGGGTTTAGGCGGATGATGTGCAAAGTCCAGCTTAGATTGCATGTTCCATCTCGGAGAACCATCGTGAGGGAGTTATTCAATATGTATGATACCATGAAAGATTATTTAAAAAGGGAGATACACAATCATAGAGTGAGCTTGACTACTGATACATGGACAAGTGTGTAAAATTTGAACTACATGGTGCTAACTGCTCATTTTGTAGATGATGAATGGAATATGCACAAAATGATTCTAAAATTTTGTTTGATTTCAAGTCATGAAGGCAAAGAAATAGGGAAGATGATTGAGCAATGTTTGGTTGAGTGGGAGATTGAAAAGGTAATGTGTATTTCAGTTGACAATGCATCGGCTAATAAGGTGGCAATTGAGTATATTGTTCGTAAAATGCAGAAATGGCATAATAGTAAAATTATTATGAATGGCAAGTTTATGCATGTGAGGTGCTTAGCTCATATTATCAACTTGGTTGAAAAGATTAGATACAAGTGTGGATGTTCTTAGAAATGTTGTGCGGTTTGTGAGATCAAGTCCCCAAAGGTTTAGTTATTTCAAGAAATATGTGGAGAATGAGAAGTTGGATAGTATGGGTCTAGTTGTTATGGATGTGCCTACTAGATGGAATAGCACATACATGATGCTAGAATATTGCTTAAAGTTTAAAAAAGCATTTGAAAGGATGTCCGAAGATGATGAAGCCAATATATACTCCGCCTATTTTAGGGAAAAGGTGCTTAATGATGAAGGAGAAGAAGTGGCGAGTAAAGGGAGGGTTGGACCACCTAAAGAGGAAGATTGGGATGGTGTAGAAGTGTTTGTGGAATTTTTGAAGGTCTTCTATCTTATAACTTTGAAAGTTAGTGCAAGTAAATATCCCACATCTAATACAGCTGTTCATGATGTCAATGTTGTGGAAAATGAGATTGAAAAGTTTTTTTTGCCTGAATATATGCAAACTGGAGAAAGTATATAGTTGGTGCTACGTGATATGACATTTAGCAGGAGAGCCAAATATTGAAAATATTTTTGTTCAATTGACTCCCTTAATCAAATATTTGTAGTTGCCCTTATCTTAGACCTAAGGTTCAAATTGAGGCACTACATGCACTTGTGTGGAAAGCAATTATAGCTTCCTGAAAAAGAGATTCAACAGAAAAGTAATGAAGTGAAGACATTGTTGAAGGCAATGTGTGATGAATATGCTTACCAAGCTTTCGGTTCATAACACAACAAAAGGGTAGAGAAGATTTACTTGTTGACACTACTTGTTCAAGGGTAAAACAATCATCTTCTAGTGTGCCAACAGAAAATCTAATGATATTTAGTCAAATCGTAAATGATTGGGAGAATGAACTAGAAGACACCGAAGATATTGCGCTTGCACATGAGGTGGATAAGTATCTCCTTGACATTGTAGAGAAAGTACCATATGGTTCACAATTTGACGTTTTGAAATGGTGGAAGTTGAAAGGGAGGAGCACATATCCCACACTTGCTTTGATAGCGAAAAATGTCTTGCCAATTCAAGTGTCCATAGTTGCCAGTGAAAGTGCATTTAGTGGAGGAAAGTGAGTAATTGACCCTTTTAGATCATCTCTCCTTCCTCAAACATTGGAGTCATTGATATGCCTCCAAAATTGGTTAAGATGTGAACCAATTAGCAACATTGAGTATGAAGCAAGTTCGGCTGAGCTTGAATTTTATCAAGAGTGTGAATAAGGTAATTATTTTGTTTTGCATAGCTTGATTTATACTTTATATTAATTGGTTTACAATTAACGTTTGTTCTTTGTTGTAGAATATAAAAGAAGAAGAGCAAATACTATATCTACAAGCTCAACCATCTTACCAAGTGTTCCTGAAATTGAAGCTCCTCAAACAACTCGAACGAATAAAGGAAAAGGAATTGCGGTAATATTTTAAACTCAAATGAATAAACTTTAAATTTCAATGATTCAATGAGGATAATGTGATATTAGACGTTAAAAATGTCATGTTTATATTCTATTTTTGCTTACAGATTCAATGAGGATTGTTGTTAGAACTTGGACGTTGGATGTGGTTTTGGATGTTAATTTGGAATTTATTGTGGATGCCTTGGACTTTCGGATATTTGTATGTTGATTTGATTTTTAGATGTTGGACGATGTAATATTGTTATTTTGGATGTATTGTTAATCTATGAACTTGAATGTTGGACTTTGTATTTAGAATTTTTGATTGGATGTGAATAATGGTGAATTTGTGCAAAATTTGCATAAATGCAGTCTGTGACTCTGTGCAGTTGCAATCAGTGCAGTTTGCAATCAGTGCAAATTTTATTATTTTTTTTCAAACCAAAAAAAAAAAAGGGACCCGTGGACCTAGCCTGAACTGGCCCATTTCAACCGGGCCGGGTAAGGTCTGGTTCCTATATTAAAAAATGTAATCTTTGACCCGTTTTCTTTGAACCCAGGTCCGGTCCAGTCCCTTCAAAATTGGGCCCGGCCCGGCCCGTGCCCACCCCTAGTTGTATATATGGTAGTTCCATAGAGATTTAACCTTATCTATGGGCTACAAAACATGAAGTTGAGAAAGATTATTTCATATAACGAATTTTGGTGATGAAACATAGTCCAACAAATTAAGCAATGAACGGAAATGGTATCTAAGCACCCTTGTCGGAAAGAAATTGCTTGAAAGTAGCCATTTTTAAGTCACCAACAAGGACAGATTCATGCGGTGGAGGCGGGGTTAAGAGGGGTTGTAAATATAGCATTTCATTTTCTGTCTTTCCTGCCTCAGAATCAACCCAAGCTACTTCATAATCTCCGATACGTGTTTACAATTACATCAAGATAGCAAATACAGCTCACTCAAATCACTCACTAAATATTGAAGTTATAAAATCTGTCTTGAATCACACTACAACAACAACAACAACAAAGTCTTTTTCCACTAAGTAGGGTTGGCTATATGAATCATAAAACGTCATTGCGCTTGGTTATATGTCATGTCCTCTGTTAGATTCAAATACTAAACCTTTTATTAAGGGTCTTGAATCACACTAGTAAACTAAAAATCCAAATTTTCGAAATTACATAATCAATGAAGAGCATACATGGATGGATTTAACGGTGCACCGAAGAATTAGTACAGAATTCACTAACTTATTAAGTTCTAGGAATTATGCACGATTGCAATGGATTCTTCATCACCACAGTAAACTCCATCTTCTCTGACAGATCAACGTCATCTCCCTCCACAGCCCTCCACTGAAACTTCCAAACCAGGTTTCCATGGTCAACCGTTGGCAATCAGACAAAGGGCAAATGAGTTTGCTTAATAAATTGTTATTTTCCATATTTTATAAATAGATGGATAAAGCTCCTTTGCTGACGAACGTTGACGTTGACCTGGAGACCAACTCTTGGGTGGAGCAAAATATCGCAAACCAATCACACAACATTGTATCGATGAAAAGCTAAAATGCATGGCAATTTACTTGTCATGTTTGCCTCATTATTCCGACTCAACTATATTTTGTCACGTAAAAAGGTTAAACTGCTTAACTGTGATTCGTTTGTGATGTTTAGTTTTA